ACTGGCTGTGTCCCTTTGCTGACCTAACTTTTCACACACTTAACCTGTTTTTAAAAACCAGCTTTATTGAAGTATTATTGCCATGCAGTGCACTGCACATTTTTAAAGTACGCGATTTGATAAGTGTGACGTATGTGCATAGCTGTGAAGCCATCACTGCCATCAAGATTACAAACACTCATCACACCTCAAGGTTTCCCTGTGCCCTTTGTAATCCCTCTCTCCCTCCTGCCCCTTCCATCTCGACCGTATTCCTTGGGCCACTGTCTTGCTTTCTGTCACTGAAGATCAGTTTTCATTTTCTGGAATGTTATATGAATGGAAGCCAACACTAGGTACTCTTGTCATCATTTTGAGACGCATCCACGTCGCGCCTATCCACAGTCCCCTCGTCTTTTTTTTTTTTTAATATTATTTATTTCTAGGAGAGAGAGAGACACACAGCGTGAGCAGGGGAGGGTCAGAGAGAGAGGGAGACACAGACTCTGAAACAGGCTCCCGGCTCTGAGCTGGCCATCAGCACAGAGCCCAACGCGGGGCTTGAACCCACGAACCGCGAGATCATGACCCAAGTGAAAGTCGGACGCCCAACCGACTAAGCCACCCAGGTGCCCTGACAGTCCCCTCGTCTTTATTGCTGGGTACTGTTCCATCCACACGCGCAGCTCTTACCCAGAGCGTTCATTTTCCTTATTCGTGGCAGACGTGGGGGGGGGGAGGAAGGGAGAAGCTAACCCTGTCCATATTTTTCTCTTGCCCCCCCCCATTCCCCTTGCACTGGGAGAGGGAAAAAGCAAGGAGATGGGGGATGATGTCAAAGTCCAAAGTAACAACAGAGAAGAAAAAAGGATTAAAGGAATAGAAAGCAGGATTTAGAAGTGAAGGTTAAGGAGTCATGATGCCTAGAAAGGAGAAAGCAGAGGGATAATTTAAGGCTGTGGCTTTTTTCAAATATACAAGAGGTTATTTTTAAAACAGGCAGCCAAGTAAGAGCTCAAAAGGCTCAGCTTGCGGGGAAAGAGCCCAGTGCAATGTAAGGGACCGTCCCTATGGGAAAGGGATGATCAGATCCAGATCCCACTCCCGGGGCCAGGGAGGACCAGGCCTGCAGGAGGCGGTGGCTGGACACAGATTAGCCCCTGGCAGGGTCCAGATCCATGTGGCTCTGAGGTCTGGCGCACATCTTTGATTTGTACTAGGTTGAGATTTCTTGAGAATCGAAAGCCTTTGGATACACTCCGAAGGAGTCAAGTTTATATAACATTTCTCTTCTTGCAGCACCTGCCTCACCAGGCCAGAATCCCATGGCTTCAGCCTTTGCTTCTCAGCCCGCTCTAAGTTCCCTTCTCTTCCCCATCTAGGGACATGCCCACCCAGGCCCGGGACCTGGTGAAGCGAATGAAAAACAACCCTGTGAGTACAGGACCCTGGGCCACCCTGCAAGGTGCTTAGTCTCCAGCTATCCAGGGTGGATGCAACGGCTCTAAAAGAGCCCCCTCTGCACCATTTCAGCCCCTGCTTGTCAAGCCACAAGAAGCAGGCCTTACCCCCAGGGTGTCCGCTCTGCTGCCCTTTCCTGACCCAGGCTCCAGCACCCCCACCCCTGAGGCCCACCACAGGAGGGAGCAGAACTGGCCTTGGCCTCTGGCAGTTTCCCACCTTACCCAAGAGTTGGCTTTGCAGAGCCCTATTATGTAAACCCCGGGTTCTAAAAATAGGCTTCTCATTCCGATCCTTCCTCCTTCCCGCTCACCCGGCCCCTCTGAAACTTCTCACGACACTTTTTTAAATGCTCTGTGTGTTTAGGTCTTGAATGCCAAGTTCAACGCCTGGCAGGACTCCTGTTATGGTGGTTCCTGAGCGGAAGGCAGGCTCCTCAAGGGCCTCCCCAGCCCCCACCCCACCTCCAGTCCCCGCCAGCCCCCTCTCCCAAGGGGCACCTCTGAGCTTTTGCTTCTAGTTGCATCTTTTGCCCTTCACTTCTTTGAAGGCACTGAGATCACATTTCAGGGGTGTGTTAATACACTCTGCTTAGTGGTGCACTGCAGCTTGCTTAGGTTTCAGAGGAAAAATAGTCATCCTCTCCTGTGTGAGCAGGCAGGCGTGCATGCGCTCGCGCGCGCGCACACACACACATGCATACCCGGAGTCCACTCTCTGGAGCTCCTTGCCAGGAACCAAGGTGAAGGTCAGGGAGGCTCCAGTTGGCATCTTCTCTCCATCAGGGTACAAAGAGGGTGAAAGGCAGTGGTTGGGGGGGGGGGGTGCTGTCTGGCCTGGTGAACACCACTTGCATGTGCCCCACCCCCACAGCCAAGCCTAAACTGAGGGCTTCCTGTCTCCCCAGAAAATTGACCTAGAGAACGACTGGAAGCTGATCACACTCTTCATTGGGAGCAACGACATGTGTCATTACTGTGAGAACCAGGTAGGCCCCTGCCCATGGGGTTTTCATGGGTACCCCGTGAAAGCCACATAGGCCCGTTCTCCCAGGCAGACCCTGGCCTTTCCCATGGCTGAATGGCCACTCAGGCCCCAGCGTCATTGGTTCCCCAATTCCAGAAGTGTCTAGATGTACCCACTCTTTGGACACTATTCTCACACAAATATTGTTCTTGGGTATCCAGTGAGTTAGTGGCAAGCCTCGCCCCATACCTGCTTGGTGTCTCTACCTGTTTAAAAATTTTTTTTTTTACATGTGTGCATGCACATGCACACAGAGGGAAGCTGAAACAGTGTCGTAAACCAGGTTGGATAAAATGAAACCGGTCCAGTACGATGGCTTGTTGCCCCGAGGACCTCATGGGTGAACCAACCTCAGCCAGCCAGCCTGAGAATCCAGCCTGTACCTGATGTTTCTATGGGGAAATATGTCCAGACTTATAGTCTCTGGGAAGCTGTAACTGTTGGAATAGAACTTGTTCTAAGTTGGGGAGGTCCTGTATTTTATTTGGCCAGAAAAGAGCAGCTGCTATAGCTCAGACATCATAGTAGAATGTTTGAAGTCACAGGCAGGGGGAGAGAGCATTGATCATTCCTCATGGCTCAGAGAGACCAAACCACCAAAGGCTGAATGAGAGTTACCCTTCCCTACCGAGGGGTTTGTTCTGAGCCTCTTCCTCCCCTTCCTCTCCCTTACTGACAAGACTCTAGAGGAGGAAGAAACCCATCCCCAGGGGGTTAAATGCCATTGTATGCTGGATTCCACAGGGTCCAAGAAGCCAGGAGAGACTCCACAGCTGCCTATGGCCACTTGGTACAGGAAAATGCCTCTGCTGTCCCCAGAATACCTGGCCTCTCTTGCAAGGCCAGATTTATAGCTCCTGAAAGCTTTTTGTGGAAAAGACCTAGAAGCCACCACCAGAATTCATGCCATGTTTTAGGAAGGGTCAGAGGAGGAAATCCTTGTGTCAAAAAGATAGAAGTTAAGGAGCATCAATGGGGCCAGCATGGGCCACAGAGCGGAGTGTGTAGTCATCACGGCACTGATGTGGCTCAGAAGCCTGAGGCTGGTGACAGCTGGGACTGGAGAAGTGGGGGAGGGGGGCAGCACTATCAGAATCTGCGTCTGGGTTTGAGATGCTGAGATCTGGGTGGGGTAGGGATTGTTCAGTATCCGGTAGGGGTCAAATGAAGACTTCGGCAAGAAGGGCTGGGCTTCTCAGCCTGCCTAGTACCATTATAGCCCCTCTGTACCACTCTGCCACCGTCCCAGGCCCTCCTGTACTGGTCATCAGACCACGATCATCCTCTCACAGTAGAACCCAGGGGCTGACAAGAGCCCCCTTCTTTCTTCACAGGAGACCCACTCAGCTGGAGAGTACATTCGGCACATCCAACAGGCCCTGGACATCTTGTATGAGGAGGTAGGAAGGAGCAGCAGTATGTTTCTGGAGCTCATCTCCCACAAGCAGCCTATCTACTCCCTCACCAGGAAGCACCTCTGGGTGCATGTAGGCAAGCTGCGTTCAGGGAGATACATGCGAGCAGAACCCAGCTGTGAGCAGACACGTGGAGGGAAAGGAAAGGGAGGGAGGCAGGTACAGAGCTCCTCTGCAAGGGAAATTCTAGCTGGATCAGACTGTACTGTTTGGTGTACCACTCGGCCGAATTCGTAGCCAGGCACTGTGACTTGAGGCAAGTGATTGCTGGCTCAGCTTCCCAAGCTATAAAGTGGGCCATTAAAGAAGACTTAGATAATACAAGTCACATCCCCACTTTGTTCCTCAGTTTCTTCATTGGTAAAATGGGGGAGGAGGAGGTTAAATTGTAGGTGACCCCCTAGGCTCCTTCCAGTAGTAACCAGTATCCCCCATAGCTGTGTGGGGACTAACAAAGCTCACCCCTCTGCTCCCTGCAGCTTCCTAGGGCTTTCATCAATGTGGTGGAGGTCATGGAGTTGGCCAGTCTGCACCAGGACCAAGGTGGGAAATGCAACCTGCTGCTGGTGGCTCAGTGAGTACACAGTCCCATGGCGAGGGCACCCGGGGAGGGTGGGACTCACAGATGCTGACAGATGGACCAGTGCAGGGAGAGCCAGAAGATCCTATCGGGAGGGCAGACATCGGCAATTAGCCAGGAGCGTGGAGTGTCATTCAGAAATACCTCTACATTATTGAATGCCTACTGTATGCAAGTCACTTGATTTCTCTGGACCCCAGTTTGCTTTTCTGTAAAGAGAGAGACACACACCAATGGTCCTTAAGGCCTCTAGCACCATCTGGGATTCCAAACCCCAGTGATTGCCCTGCGCTGCCTCTCAAATACGGAGCCATGGGCTTCCAAGACAAATGTACCTGGTCTACCATGTAGGAGCTGTGGGACCTTGCACCAATTAGATAACCTCTCTGGGCCTCCTACTCTCTACTTGTAATGTGAGGTCTAGAGGAAATGTGGGTCATGGGCTTGGTCCCTGTGGGGCAGGCTCTCAGTAAGTAGTAGCTTTTATAACGTCCTTAAAAGCCAGGTTTGAAGTGAAGGTATGTTGTATAAGACATGAATTTGTTGGCGGCTAGAATTTATTAAAGCTCAGCTGTGACCCTGGCAGGAAGTTGCCATCTTCTGAGGCCAGAGGATCACCCAGCCTTCCTATGAGGCTACCGTGGAAGAGGAGATTGTGCAGGGGGCCAAGGCATTCCAGCTGGGGTCACATGGATTTGTGGGGAACGTGGCTCACTGGTTCCCACTTCTCTTGGCAACAGGCCAGGGTGGAGCAGGCACTAGCAGGGAGGTGTGAACGGCTCCTGCAGAATCTTCCAGTCTTACATGCTGCATTGTCAGTGTGTCTCCAGCTGGCTGACCCTCTCCCACTTCCCTGGAGGCTCCCCACGCTGGAGCTCCGAGGGCAAGTCCTAGGCTGCTGGGGGGGGGGGGGGGGGGGGGGGGGGGAGGGGTCCTCCCAGAACATGAAGAAGAAAGATAAGGTTATGATGGCAGCCTTTCCAAAACTCCAGGCCTTTCCTGGAAGAAGCCCAGCCCTAGGCAGGAGCAGCCAGGTGGCAAGGGGACCCAGATAGCAGGTACCAGCTCTCCCACCTTCTCATTAAAGAAGCACCCAGTACCCCTAGTGCCCAGTCTGTGACCTGGGTCCAGGAGTCACCCAAGGCCGCGTTGCAGGGGCACCTGTGTATTGCCATCTTCCCACGCAAGGAAATACAGGGTCCAGGCCTCCTTCCTCGGGGAGGAAGCCACCCAGGCACCTCTCCCCAGGACCCCTTCTCTCGCAGGAACAACTGAACTTGTCTCACACGTTCCCAGGAGAATTCCCTGGAGATGCAAGAACTGAAGAAAATGAATTGGAACTTCCAGGTGAGCCTGCACCCCCTCCTTCTGTCCCTGCTGGGCACCCCCTCTGCTCCCGGGGCCAGGCTGCTCCCTAAAGGCAGATCACAGCCCCTGAAACACTCCTCCGGGTGTAAAGAACGCCGGGTTGGTGAGGGAGAACTCTCAGAGGGGAAGCTGAGAGCATTTCTGCCTCCCCACCCCGGTGCCCAGAGTAGGCTCCATGCACCGGACACCGTCTCTCACCCGGAGGGAGGGAGGGGAGGCAGGCGTCCACCACCCTGTTGGGCTTTAGCCCCTGCTGCCCTCCATACCCAACTCCATGTGCACCTCTGCTCATGCTGTCCCTCTTGACATGCCCACCTTGAGCATTTCTTCCACGTCTCCATCTCATGCACAGGACAGGTCTTTTCACCTCTTCTAAGAAGCTTCCCCTGACTAAACATCCCCCTGGTCTGTCCCCATATTGGCTTCAGTCTACCTTCTCTGAACCCATAGCTGGTTCTCATGGGTTTGTTGTGTGTGTTTGGTTGTTTTTTGTTTTGTTTTTTTGTCTTTTTACATCCTGGCTCATTTTTCCAGATGGATTGTAAGCTTCTTGAAGAGAAGCCCATCTATCCCTTTTACAGGGACACTCATCCCCCAACTTGATAGGCATCTTGGGGAGCTAGTGTTCAAATGCTCCCCACTTGAGCTGGATCTGGAGCCCCACATTCTAATGCAGCCCTTTGGCCCAAGCAGTCTGGTCAGAGGCTCAGACCCAGTCTCACAGAGACTTCAGAAGGGGCGGTGCCTGGCCCAGGTGCAGGCAGGATGGATGCCTGCAGGGACACTGGAGCATCCCCTGACGTCCCCTTTGGCTAGGGTGGGCTGGTGGCCCCCTCACAGCCGGAGCAAGGCAGCAGGACTAGAACCCGTCTGCCCAGTCCTACCAAGAGGGTTGAGGAACCTCTCTCCCATCCCCAGAGTGGCATCTCCAGGTTCTCCTACTGGCACCAGTACCTGCAGCGTAAAGACTTCGCCGTGGTCGTGCAGCCTTTCTTCCAGAACACTCTTGTCCCCCTGAACAGCGTAAGCCGCGGGCCATTCTGGGAGGCTATTCTTAGGCCATATACTTCCTTCTGTACCTGAGCTTTCTGACCCTATGATTCCAGGAGGGCTCCTAGGGAATTGCTTTTTCTGTTTACCTTTTCTTTTGGTCTGATTGGAACTTTGATGTACTTGGAAGGAAAAGGAGAACATTGGCAGTGACCAAGCTTCCCAGGCATGGCCCTGCTATTCGCTAGATTGGGATAGGAAGCTTTCCATTCTGTTTGTTGGGTTTTTATTCTACCCCCCCCAACTATCAGGGCAGGGATGCCAAAGGAAAAGGGATGGAGCATGAGTGGCTATATTTCAGGTCTCTTAAAAAGTTCCAAAACTGGGGAGTTTGCCATCAGTATCTGAGCCAGTTGGTAGCAGAGTTAAAAAGTGCCCAGGGTGCCCGCAGGGGTGGGCGGTCGTACCTTTTTCCCAGGAAGGTAATCCCTTTGCCTTTGGTCACAGAGAGGGGGCGCTGACCTCACCTTCTTCTCCGAAGACTGTTTCCACTTCTCAGAACGTGGTCACGCGGAGATGGCCATCGCGCTCTGGAACAACATGGTGAGTGCTGTGTGCCTAGTGGGCCATGTGTCAAAGGGGGCAACTCAAGGGTGTTGACCACTGTCCGGAAGGAGCCCTTTTCTCCCCAAAGCTCAGCACGGCGGCACACCTTATTATTTGTCCTGGAAGATCCCGTTATTTTGGCAATTTCCCAGTACTGTGGGGGGATAATTTTGTAATCAGATAAACAGGACGAAAATATCAGCTTCAGCCCCTTACTGTGTGACCTTGGGCAAATGATCTCTCTTTGGCCTTCTGGATCAACACATCTGTAAAAAACAATGAAATGGATGCAGATCTCAGAAAATTAAGGTAACGTGTGTGCGGCCCCCAACACAGCCATTAGCATTCAACAAATGCTAGCCCCCCTGAGTCCAAGCTCAACACATTCCCGATTATTTCCTCGAACATCAAAAAGAAAAGAGCCACCCAGCCTGTCTCTCCAGTCCTTTCTGATGGGGCTAATGGAGACCTTAGGAAATGAACCTATAGTCAAGGGGCCACAGGGACACCTGGCCCTGCCTCCGATGGCTGGCCACTCCTCTACAATCAGCTGTGTCGGCACAGAGCTGGCCCGGTAACCGCAATAGCCATATCCCGTTGCGCAGAGCAAATGAAATGCCTTTCCAATCCAGTGGCTTCTTTTGATCTTGGCTCAGCGGGTAACCCAATCCCCACCCCAACCTGTGTTCTCTCGTTTCTCTCGTGGTGACTAAACACATCCACACGCTCGCTTTTACTGCAGTCGGGCCTGGCCGTGGCTCTGCCAGCAAGCCTAGCACTGGCTTCCCCTGAGCCACCCCACCTCCTCTCCCCAGAGCAGCATGCCAGCACGTTCCCTTCTTGGCCTACTTAATCAGACTCAGCTTTCCTCTCCCTTTGCTTTCTGCTGTTGACACCCCCTGCTAAAGGTTTTGTCACACTCTGTCAGCCCAGGCCTGGGAATTACGGTCAAAACATCCTTGTGCCCCTCCCCCCCAACCTCCACAGTAATCTTTTTAATCAAAGTTTGCACAATAGAATTCCTGAGAGCAGTTTTGAAGTCCAGTTGTCCTTCCCTGGCTGAGTCCCATGACCTCATTCCTTTTAAATCCCCTCCCAAGGGTAGGTATCTGTGCATGGTCCCATGTATCCCCCTGAGATCTCAGGGGAAGCCCCAGATTTTGTTTTAAATGTTTATTTTTGAGAGTGCATGAGCAGGGGAGGGGAAAAGAAAGAATCCTAAGTGGGCTCCACACGGTCAGCCCAGAGCCTGACACAGGGCTCAATGTCACAAACGCTGAGATCATGACCTGAGCAGAAATCAAGAGTCAGATACTCAACCAACTGAGGAATCGAGGCACCCCTCAGGTGAGAGGCTTTTACACATAAAGGCAAGAGGGAAGGGATTAGATATGAAAACAAAAGGTGAATGCTACCATGAAGCCACATTGGTAACACTACAGGACTCCGGGGCTCCTAGCCACCAGTGTCCTGGCCCTGTCCCTGCTTCTACAAAAATAAAGCAAAACTAAAACTGAAATCATCTGAGAGTGTCTTATCCTAAGCTAGATAATTTAGGGAACTAATTATAGAGTCCAGTGTTTTCATCCAAAACCATCTCAGATACAAAGCTATTGCATCATGCCAACTTTTCAGATCGTCTTCTTACTGTCACCCCTAGTGGGACATATATTATAGGCCATTGGAACTAGAGAAGATCTTAACAGGTCATCTAGCCAGAATGCTCTAACTAGAATACAGGCAGATGAAGCGTTCTGCCCAGGTTCACACAGCCTGGTGGTGGCCAAGCAGAGATTAGACCCCGTCTAATCCCCTAGTGTCCCGGCCACAGCAACCCCCGGCCTCTCCCCTCCCAACCGGATCAGCACATATATAACCAGTGAATTCATGTCTCACAATGACAGTCCTATGACATAGTGTCTGCAGGCTTTGGCTGACACTCGCAAGGCACTCTGTGGCCACAAACACACCTTACGCTATTTCATCTTCTGCCCCTCCTCTCTCAAGATTACGTCTCCTTCTCCAGAGACCTTTGCATAACCGACACCAGCAGCACGAGGCAGAATTTTCATTTTTCTTCTTTCAAGTAGTTTTTCCTTTTTTCTGATGCCTGCTCCCTCTTCACTAGAAATCTTGCTGTCCTCTAACATTTGCGTCTGCCCAGGTGCTGGGTGACCACGTGAGCCTCCTAACCAGTGTCCCTGTCTCTCAGCTTACCACCGTTAGAACAGCACAGCGCAGCTCTGGCCGGAGGTTAGAATAATCTGGGGGATATTCACATTGGCAGCCAGTTTGGCACATCCACTAAGGCTGAGCGTTTAGATTCCCCGTGACCCAGTGACCCCATTCCCATGTAGATCTCCAACAGAAAGGTACATGTGGGCTCACCTGAAAATTCACAGCAGCACCATTCATAAGCCCCAGGCAGGAAGCTCCCCCTGTGTCCACCAGTAGAATGTGGCACATTCATACAGTGGAATACCTTACAGGGAATAAACAAGCTTCAGTGACAGGCAACTATGTCTATACATTTCAAAAACACGCGAATTAATATACAGTCTTTGGAGGGGAGAGGGTAGTACTGGAGGAGGGTGGGAGGGGAGCTCTAGATGCTGGTTACGTGGGTATATTTTGTCACGATTTACCAGCTGTTCACTTACTATCTGTTCTATTCCTCCGTGTATATTAGCTTCAGTAAAAATCTGACTTTAAAAAAAACAACACAAACAAATCACTAGTGCCTGGGCCTCATCCCCAGAAGTTCTGGATTAGTCTGGGGTATCGCCTATGGGTTATGTAGGTTTCAAAAGGTCCCACGTGATATTATTGTACAGGGTTTGCAAACCACTGCCTTCTATCTGTTTGCCACAGGGCAGCCACAGGAATCTGTGTAAGAGAAAATCTGACCAAACTTTGAAGGCCTGCCCCTCCCTGAAAGACAAAGTCCAGGCCCCTCGGCATAGCACACCAGGCCTTCTGAGACTTGGCTCCAATTAACTTCTCTAGCGGTCACTCCCACCACCCTCTGACTAGCAGTTGGGCAGTCTGGGAAGGAGTAGAGTTTCCTGCACCACCCGTGGTGCCTCTGTGTGTCTGCTCTTGCTCATTCCCTTAAATCTTGGACTGCTCTTCCAACCTTTTCCTAACTCATAGCCACCTCAACACAACTCAGGTGCCAGCTCCTAGAGGAAGCCCTCTCTGAATCCCTAGAACAGACTAGAAGCCCACTTAGCCCATTGCACCCTGCCCCAGCCCTATTATTTGCCACATCATTGCTATCTGTGGTATCTGACTTAGGAAAAGTGGGTTCTTAAAAAACAACTTCATTTACTATGGGCAAGCCCAGGCCTTCTCATCTGAGCTTCTCCACTCAGGGCTCTGTGACTCCACTCCACCCACCCATTCCCTCAACTGCTATTTATTGAGCATCACTATGTAGTGGGGACTAGTCCAGGTGCTGGGGAAGAGAACATCCTTGCACTCCTGGGCAAAGGACAGACAAAACCCAACAAATTAAGAATTTCTGACTACATTCAGGGCTCTAAAAAACAGGGGGAGCAGGTAGTGTGACAGAATAATGGGGGGGAGAGGAAAGCCTCACCCAAGAGTGACATGTGAACTGAGAACTGAATGTCAAGAGTCTGCCAGGCATGCAGAAGTCTAAAGCCAGAGTGTTCCAGGCAGAGGAAATAGGACCTGTGCGGGCCCGGAGTCAGGAATGAGTTTGAGGTGTCTGAGCAGCGTGAAGGCCAAGGTGACTGGAGGGACGTGAACAAGGTCAGAGAGGTGAGCAAGAGCAGGGCCAGGTCCTTGGATGGCTTCCAACAGGGGAGCCACGGGACCTGGTGTGTCCTCTGGGTTCCATGTTGCAGTGGACTAGAGGAAAGGAAGAGTGGAATTAGACCAGCAGGTGGTTGCTGGAGCCCAGGTGAGAGACGAAGGTACCTGGGCCAGGGTGATAACCATGGAGAAGGAACAAAACGGTCAGGTTTGGGATATGTTTTGGATTGGCTGATGGGGGAGGTAGAAAAAGAGCAAAGGTGGGTGGGTTGGGATGGGTAAAAATAGGTGATGGGGATCAAGAGGTGCACTTGCTGTGCTGAGTACCAGGTGTTGTAGGGAAGTGTTGAATCACTATATTATATACCTGAAACTAAAATTACACTGGAATTTAAACTTAAAAAAGAATAAAAGACTCCTCTGTTCAGGGTCAAGGAAATTGGGTGGATGGTTGAGGTGGTGGAGAGAAATAGGTTTGAGGGGGAAAAATCAAAAATTCTCTTTTGGCCATGATAAATGTGAACTGTCTTCTAGAAATCCACTTGGAGGCATCAGGTAAGCAGGGATGAGCCATGGTCAGGAGTGGAGATTTAGAAAAAAAAATAAAGTGGGGCTATTTGAGACCAGGACTGACTGAGGCCTCCTAGAGAAGGGTAGTTGGGAAAGAGTGTGGATCAACACCCAAGCCCCTTGACCCTCATTCCAACTTCTGACTTCAGGGACAGAGGAGGAGGGGGTGGGAAGCGGGGTAAGGAGAAAAGAAGAGAGCCCTGTTCTAGGAGCCCACGCAGGTGAGTGTTTCAAGAGGGAAGCACCAACTTTGACAAATGCTGCTGAAAGTCAAGCAAGAAGACAAAAAAGGGAGTATTGGATCTGGTAAGCTGGAGCTTCAGTCAATTGACAAGAGCTTCAGTCAATGATGGAGACTGAAGTCTGGCTAGTGTGGGCATTGAACGGGAGGTTGGGAAGTGCAGTTAGGGACTACAAATGAGTCTTCCTAGGGTCACAGGGAGGGGTAGTGAAGGTAACTTGCTGAAGGCTAGGAGGTAAATTGGGCACTGGTGATAAGGAGCCAGAAGAAAGGGACAAACAGATGCAGTCATCAGCCTCACATGATCATTACCTTCCTCTGTGCCAGTGGGTTCCTGGAATGTCAGGGAATCAGCCAACCTGACCTTGAGCATCTATACTGTCCCTCGATGATACTTCCATGACAATAAGCTTGTGCTTCCTCAGCTCTAAGGAAACAGAAACAATACATATGTAAACCACCTCCTGCTTGGGGAGCTTTCATTTCATCTTCTCACTGATGTTCACATCCACCAAATGTGGGTGATCGGGATGGGGTTTAGTGCCCCACACCTGACCTCAGGACAGCTCAGGGGCCTGCCTAGCACAGCACAGCAGCAGAGCCAGACCCTGGATGATGCACCCAGTGTGTTGTCCCAGTCACTGTGGTGAGTCTCAGGACCAGAGCAGCTCTTCCTTCTCGTACAAAGGAACAGGTGTAAAACAGCAGAAAGTGAGATCATGGGCCAGGTTTGGTTGTTAGCTGGCATCATGTGCTTTCACTTCCCTCACAGGCAGTACCTGAGGGGCTCAGGACCCAGCAGGGAAGCAGATTCTAAGGGTAGAGTCTACATGGTCAGGATGTGTTAATTGGTGGAAGTGCCAGGGGCCACTCTCCTCAGCACTGACCACCTTGGAGGGCAGCTACTGGCTAACGATACTGGGAAGGGGCATAGAGCAACTTCCAGCTCATTCTCAGAGGGTCCCAGGATTCAAAGTGTTAAGCAGAACCTCTCTGAACAATCGCTCCAGGGATGGTTCAGGTAAACCTCTGCCTCTGTGTGAAAAATATACAGCATAGCTCAAGTGAGAAACTGCCATTTCTTAAGGTTGACAAGCCGAGTATAGTAACGACGTCATGGTAACCGGTAGGTTTTCAAAGTTTTTCTGAAACTGACTAGCCCCACACACTTCAACAGGTTGGTAAAGACAATGATTAGCATTTTATAAAACTGAGAATGCAGAGGGTCTGTGATCACAGCCACTCACAAGGGAAGTAGGAGCTGGTGTGTGTGGGCCAGGCCTTTCCACAGACTCGCCGTGGCAGGATGGATCAGTCCCTCCTGGGCTCCAGTGTCCTCCTTGGTAAGTCCAGGGCACAGGCTCAGGGGTCCTGCCCTGCCTGATGGACTCTGATGTGCCCCTTCTGAGTCAGAAGTCAGATCCAGCTCTGGCCCAGGGCAGCTGAGATCAGATGTGGATCTTGTGTTTATTGCTGGCGTGAACCTACCCTTGCAGAGGGAGGGAATCAGGTGTGAGATACTGCTTCAGAGGAAATCACAGTTCCCTTTCTCTCTCTCCAGCTGGAGCCAGTGGGCCGTAAGACAACCTCCAACAACTTCACCCACAGCCGAACCAAACTCAAATGCCCCTCTCCTGTGAGTAATGGCCCAATGTCCAGCCTGTTCCATCCAGCATGAAACAGATGTCTAGGGGGCAGGGGCCCCTGAGACCTAGAGGCCAAAAGGAGTTCCCTGGGAGGTTTATCAGTGAACTGCCACCATTCTCCATTCTCACCTCTTCTTCTTGTCCCTGAAACTTCACAGCTCCTCGGGGTGTGGGGGAAAGCAGCAGGTGCTCTGGGGAAGCAGTTGAATGGGCACTGGTGGGGGAGGTGTTGTGCAGAAAGAAACAAGACACCATGTCTGCTCTGGATCCTGCACTCCTTTTCCTCCCGACCCAGCACATCCTTTCTTCCCTTACTGCCCTCAGCTGGAATGAGCTCCTATCTAACATGCTCCCCAGCTCTCCCCTCCCTTCCCTGTCCACGCTCTACCAGCCGCCAGGCACTACACAACCTACCTGGAAAGTCACTCTAGTTTGTCAAGGCTGCTTGAAACCCTTCCCTGGTCCCACCGGAGCATCCAGAGGGGAGGCCCAGCTTCCTCTATTGCCTTAGACACACACTGTTCCTGGAGAAAAAATCAGCTTCCCAGCCGAGCCCCACAATTGCCACGTCTGTGCTTTCACTCTGTTCCTCGCAGAGGCTCATCCCCATCTCTGCCTGCAGGAGAAAGTCACGTCCTTTAAGGCTCAGGTGCCGCCTCCCCTGGGCTACTGTTGTCCCCTCACCCGACTGCTGCTGCCTCCGACACACACCCGTGTTCATCTCTTTTCTGTTTACACTTCTCAAAAGACCAGGACTGAGGCTCCTTTGTGGTGTGATCACCTCTGAACCTCTTGGCCAAGACAGTGAGAGCGGTCACACTCGGCACTCTCTCAGCTCCTACCCAGGGCGCCATGCTTGTCTGCACAGAGGAAGGAGAGAATCCAGGGAGGCAGGTCCAAATACCCACTTCTCTCGGCCCTTCTCATGCTTGGTTCTCAAACCTACCACAAAACCAGCTGTTCTTCCACACTGACCATCGTCCCTGCTCCCGGGCACTCACAGGATGGGGGGATAGAGACAGCTGTCCAGTGGTGGCCTTGAGGAAATAGAGGTGGGGGCTCTGAAGCCCCAGGACTCCCTTCCTCTGGTCGCCTATCAGTTCCCAATCTCAGTATTGGGTTGACCATGAAAGGAGATACTGGTGAGAAACTAAAAGGACGTTATGGCTGAGTATTGACCACTTTGAATACCCATCCTCGTTCAGGAGGTTTGGGGGACAGAGTAGACGAAGGATGAGCAGTGAAAACGTGCAAGGTTATTGCACCGTTGCCCCCAGGATAGACTCAGCAAGCCCAAGGTGGGCGGGCAGATGGTTTACAGAGGCCTATAACCTCTGACCCTCTCCTCCTACACAGGAGAGCCCTTACCTCCACACCCTGAGGAACAGTCAGCTACTCCAAGACCAGTCTGAAGCAGGCCCCATCGTGCTCTCCTGGGCTGTGCCAGTGGCGGCAGGAGGTGGCCTTGCACTTGGGGTTGGTGCAGTGATGGCATGGAGAGCCATAAGGGGTCGGCGGCGGGAAAATCCTCCAATGAATCTCAACACTATGAGCTTCTAGGCCTCCAGCCATGCGCAGGCATTCGTCCCAAATTCCCCAGCCACACTCCTCACCAGCCGTCTACCTCAGCCACCTTGGCCACCACAGAGAGCATTTGCTTCAACCCCTGATGACATCGGAAGCCAAAGGGACAGTCACGACTCCTTAGGGCCTGGGGCCTATGCTTCTGGAATTACCAAATTTAAATAAAGGCCAAAGTCATTCTATTCTTGGGTTAGTCTGCCTGGAGCTCTCGCTTTCCATCTGTTGTGCGATGCAGGTGTGGGAGCTGGAGCCTTCCAGGTCCTGTCTCAGGCAGAGCTGCCCAAGTGATGGCCAACCGGAGCCCAGCCTGGCACCTGATGAACGTATCCCAGTTACCACACCCCCACTAGGTAAAAGGTGGGAGAAAGGTGGCTAGAGTAGTGCAGCTGGATCGTTACCATTCAATATCACCCAACACATAGCTTTTCTACACTTGTTTTGTATCCAGGACAATGTAGAGCACAGTGGGGCTTTCCAAGGCTGTGAGTGTCACAAACCCTTCAAAAGATAAACTCCTTCGGGGCGCCTGGATGGCTCAGTCAGTTAAGCATCCGACTTCGGCTCAGGTCATGATCTCACAGTCCGTGGGTTCGAGCCCCACATTGGGCTCTGTGCTGAGAGCTCAGAGCCTGGAGCCTATTTCAGATTCTGTGTCTCCCTCTCTCTCTACCCCTCCCCTGCTCATGCTCTGCCTGTCTCTGTCTCAAAAATAAATAAATATTAAAAAATTATTTTTAAAAAAAGATAAATTCCTTCAAAAAAGCAAAAAGCTCATGACAAGATACAATTTTGTTCCTGGGCATTGCTAGGTAAAGATGTCTGTTCACTCTGAGAATAAGAGGAGTTGCCTAGGGAAAGTTATCTACCTTCACCTGATTTTCTCAAAGTGCTAACTTTTGGAAAGAATTCCTCTTTTTACATTACCAGATTTTGGAGAGAGTGCTAGAGAGAGGCCGATAATACAGGCTGCGTTCCTTGAGCCCCTGAGCTGGATGTCTTACACAGATTCTCTTTTATTTTGCTCAAAATCCCAGGGAGGAAGGGATGAAAAATAGAGGTGGTAGTTGCACAACATTGTGGATGCACTAAATGCCACCGAACTGTTCACTTTAAAATGGCAAATTGTAGGTCGTGTGAATTTCACCACAGTAAAAGAAAAAAAGAGAATCCATGATCGTCTGCATTACAAGTACCTCTCTGATCCCAAAGCTTGGGATGACCAAGAATGGGAGTTAGAATCCCTAGGCATACCGTTTAAATGGGTGGCCTTCAGAGCAAACCCAACAGCAGCCTGAGCCCCAGTTTCTCAGACATTTCATCTGTAAAACTCGAGTACTCATTTTGCCTGCTTCACAGCACTGCTGGTGGGGAAGAAAACATAAAATGCTCTATGACTCTAAAATACTACACACATAAAAGGGGATTGTTTTCTCGTCTGTGGAGAGTTGAGACAGGGTCCAGATGGTCAGGGAAGTGGAGAGGTCCAGGGACGGGTTTGGGAATTGGGCAGTAAGGTACCAACAAAGACTGCCTAACTTCCATTCATGAAGGTCCACCATCTTATCTCTTTGACAAAACAGAGTGAAGTCCCCTGAGAACCTAGATCCAGGCCCAGTGTTCATCTGGTCTCCAATTTCTGTTTCTGTACTATGAGAACAGCATACCTGCCTCCCCCCCAATTCTTCCTATGGCCCAGAAAACGTGGTGGCTGAACCATACATTTCCTAAAGACCCACCACATTCCAGCTCGTGCTCCTGGCTTACCACAGGTAAGAGCACAGATAGCCCATTAACTCTAAGAGTCCAGCACTACCATGTCCCTTTTTCCTTCTTTCTCAAGTTTTCATTCCTCCCGTAGCTCTCATCTCAAAGGATCATGGAACCCATAAGCACAAGTCTGTCCTCAACTGGGTTGGACTTTATACTACCCGAGTAATCCAGGAGCTCCCAGTATGAAAAATCAACCAAAACAAAAGTAGTCCCAGGCTGATGCCCAAGGAAACACTTGGCAGAAACAGAGACACAAGCTTGAGCCAGGCCTTAATTTCTCACTAAATAATAAAGGGCCAAAATTTTTAAATGTGTGAGAGTAGCTACTTGCACCTGGTAGAAATGTATATACATTGGATATGTGCCATCTTCTATGGGAAAACGGCCAGTCTAGTTAGGACGACACCCCTAGCCATGCTGTGAATGAAACCACCAAATTCTGAGAACACTGTGCTCCCCACTGCTCTCCAGAGAGGGTTTTAAATGCAAAAGAGAGTCGTGTGGATTAAACTTCATCAATAGCCTTCATAGAGGACATGAAACTTTGAGCTCCGAAGGATGCTTTAACCAAGTGAGAACTCAGAGGCTGAAAAGAATGGGGTTGTTGACAAAACCACACTGAGATACCACCTCACACCAGTCAGAGTGGCTAAAATGAGCAAATCAGAGAACTCTAGATGCTGACAAGAATGTGGAGAAATGGGCACCCTCCTACACTGTTGGTGGGAATGTAAACTGGTGCAACCCCTCTGGAAAACAGCATGGAGGTTCCTCAAAAAATTAACAGAACTCCCCTATGACCCAGCAATAGCACTGCTAGGAATTTACCCAAGGGATACAGGAGTGCTGATGCATAGGGGCACATGTACCCCAATGTTCACAGCAGCACTCTCAGCAATTGCCAATTGCCAAAACATGGAAAGAGCCTAAGTGTCCATCAATGGACAAATGGATCCAGAAGATGTGGTTTATCTATACCATGGAATACTACATGGCAATGAGAAAGAATGAAATCTGGCCATGTGTAGCAACATGGATAGACCTTGAGGGTGTTATGCTTAGTGAAATAAGTCAGGCAGAGAAGGACAGATACCATATGTTTGCATGTATAGGAGGATTAGGAGGAACTTAACAGAGGACCGTGGGGGAGAAGAAGGGAGGAAATGGTGGGGGAGAGGGAGAGAGGCAAACCATGAGAGACTCTTGAATGATGAGAACAAACGAGGACTGATGGGGGGGGAGGGGGGAGATGTGCATGGAGGAGGGCACTTGTGGGGATGAGCACTGGGTGTTATATGGAAACCAAATTGACAATAAACTATTTGTAAAAAAAAAAAAAAAAAAAAAAAAAAAAAAAGAATATGGTTGTTGAGACTAGGCAAACTCATTCTAAGTGGAGAGACAAATGAGCATGGTGTGCACAGAAGACAACAAGCCAGCCAGGAAAACGAGGATGGGGGAGTCGCACGCAGACTAAGAGGCACCATGGAAAGGACCAAGAGCTTGTAGTGACCAGACCAATAAAAGCTGACAGGGTGCTCACACTATGATGGACACCACGGCACACAGGAATTAAACTACAAATCCCTATTTTCCCTCCTCTTTTCACAGAGGGGAAAATCCAGACTCAGAGAAGAGGTAACTGGCCCAGGGTTATACTCACATTACAGGATGGACATTCTTCAAAATGAATACTGGTGTGCAGGGTGAAGGAACAACCTGAAAATATAAAACACATGATTCTGGAAGTGAAGTAGGTCAAATTGTAAGTGAATGTGTCATAAAATAGAAATCTAGAAAGGGGAGATAGTATCTTACCGAGGCTGTGAGGACACAGGAGTTTCTCTGCTTCCAACCAGTCTGAAGGAGTCTACCATTTCTAGTTAAAAGTCTATCATTTAAAAACTACAGGGACTAAGATTTATTTGGCTGGAAGATGTATGGAGTTCTAGCAGTGAACAAATCTTTTAATTCGAAAAAAAACAAAGACAATAGCTGTGCGAATCTGTAGATACAACGAATGGACATTTTAAGTAACAGTAGTATTGATGATAGATCATAAATATGTTTAGAAAGATTAAAGGCAAAGGAATTTAAAACATGAAACTAGAATAAGGCATTATTTCTTTTTAAAAAGGCAAAAACTGGGGCACCTGGGTGGCTCAGATGGTTAAGTGTCCAACTTTAGCTCAGGTCACAATCTCACAAACCCACAAACCAGTGGGTTCAAGCCCCGTGCATCAGGTTCTGTGCTGACAGCTCAGAGCCTGGAGTCTGCTTTGGATTCTGTGTCTCCCTCTCTCTGCCCCTCCCCTGCTTGTGCTCTCTCTCAGTCTCTCTGTCTCTTGGTCTCTTTGTCTCTCTCTCTGTCTCGGTCAGTCTCTGTGTCTTGGTCAGTCTCTGTGTCTCGGTCAGTCTCTGTGTCTCTGTCTCTCCCTCTCAAAAATAAACATTAAAAAAAATTTTAAGGCAGAAACTAAGAACCAAATAGAATTTCTAGAAATAGAATATATTGGTATTAAAGAAAAATCAATTTCAGTAGAAGTGTTCAAATAACAGATCACTTCTTGAAACTTTTCTTGTGTATTTACTATGTACTAGGTACTGCTTTCTAGCAGTTGGTCATTAATTCTCACAACAGCCCAATGAGGTAGACACACAGCTATTATCCGAACCTTACAGAGATAACTAAAGTAGATTCCGTGTCTATTCAGTCTCTTTGTAAGAATGAAATGAGATTAAAAACAATAGTTTAAAAAATAGGTATCCAATAATTTGCCATATCAGTATTAGTTCTAGTAGACTATTCAAGGGGCTTTATATAACAACCATAGTAATGAAAATATATTTGGTACCTTACAAAACACTTCATCTCCTCTGATCCTCACTACAGACATGGAAGCAAAGTACAGTATCATTAAGAAAAAATATCCCAAACTTGGAAAGAAGACAGAAGAGGGACCACTTGTCCTGTCGATGTTATTGTTTAACAAGCTCATCTAAGAAATAGTTATCTAGAATATACCTGCATTTGACTTTGCTATTTACTGTTTGATTAGAGCCTAGACACTATGAAGTTCTGTTGACTGTTGGATTTCTGACTGATAAAAAAAAAAAAAAGTTCACCTAAGATTACAGTTCTATCAAATATAGGACATTAACCAGCTTTACATTCTATTAGCAACATTCCTGTGACCAACATTTCTGTCACATTGTCTCCACCCAAATTCTCCCTTGAACCAGACTAAACCATCTGAATGATTCCTTCAGTTAAGAGTTAAACTCTTTGACAGGTGTGCATTCTTTATCTGAAAATCACATTTTTAACTTTTTAAACATCAAAAAAGAATGACTTTTGGGGCATCTGGGTAGCTCAGTTGGTTAAGCATCTGACTTCAGTTCAGGTTATATCTCATGGTTTGGTTCATGGGTTCGAGCCTTGTGCCAGGCTCTGTACTAACAGCTCAGAGCCTGAAACCTGTTTTGCATTCTGGGTCTCCCTCTCTCTCTGCCCCTCCCCTGCTCATGCTCTGTCTCTCAAAAATAAACATTTAAAAAAATGTTTTTAAATGATGACTTTTAAAATAACTTAAGAGAAAACATTTTTTTAATTATAATAAAATATATAAAACCTAAGGATATCTTAGAAAAACCTAGTAAGGTTGAACAAGTGGGAACGGACAAGCCAGTAATTCCATCTCTAGGGGACAGTTTCCAAAGAAACATTTGCAAACGCATCCCTCCAGGGAGCTAGGTGCAAGAACACACAGCAATGTTTCATAACAGTAAAACCGGAAACATGGAGTTCAAGGTCCATGAATAGCGGATTGGGAAAATAACTTATGGTATATTAATATACTGGAGCATTTATGCATCAGTGAAAAATCAACCATGACAGCAGCATCCATCACGTTGGGTGAATCTCACATAAAATGCTAAAAGTTTTACAAAGAATGCATGTGACTGAATTCCATTTAAATATGGAGATAGGTAGCAAACGTGGTAAAGGAATTCAATGTAACCAGATCATAAAAGTCAGTAAAGTTGTTACCTTTGAAAGGAGGGGATGGTGATATGAGAGGGGATGCATGGAGGGCTTCTGAGACATTAGCATTGCTATTTCTTAACAGGATCTTGCCTGATAATTATTCTTTAAACTGAATTGACATGGATTTCAGACTTTTTCTATATATATTTCATTTTTAAGTTAAAAAACATTGAAGAACTAAACTAAGTTGCCTATTTATTCAGTGACCAGTGGGAGGGAGCTGTTTTAGGCTCTCAAGCCTGAGGAGATGGCCAGGAAAACCTCTTATTTCCCAGCCAACATGGAAAGGCTGTTCCCAAGGGCCATATACGGAACTCTGATGCATATGCATTACAGAGTCGCAACGGAGAAGGAAACAGAAGTCAAAGTTGACCTGAGCAGGAGAAAGGGACCCTGCATCAGAGCAAGCCCCAGGTCCAGCTGACCACAGAAGCAGCCTCCGGCCATAGAGCCAGTAGGCCAGTTTAAGACCAGTTCCTCAGCAACAAAGCTCTCATGGGTAGCAGCAAGAGCTTACTGGACTTCAGCAAAAAAAGGCCACTCAAGGGCACACATCCTTTATCTCTGTACGATGTCCAGAAGACTTGTCACCATAAGCTTGTCCCACTACGCTGGCAGCTAGCTCTGACACATACCAACGGCCAAGAGGATGCCAAGGGGATGGTGGCCCCCTGGAGAGGCCCTGAGTCCACCCCTCTGGGGCCTGGCTGCACCATCCAGCAACAAGCATACCGCCCTCAGGTGCTCACACAGGTCCTGAGGGGAATCGATCCTGAGGGGAGTCGGGGCAGGCAAGGGAGAGAAAGGGAGGAGAAAACAGAGGCTTCTGCTAAATATATTCCTCATGGCCAGTGCTTTAGTCATTCAAATTTCATTCTTCATGAGCAGTGAAAGCCTCTAGCACAGTCTGGCTCAGTGATTGAAGAATCCCACCCCACGCAGGGAGTAGGAGAGCTGGAGATCAGAGAGGAGCGAAAGGGGATTCTAATCCCAGATTATTAGGAAGGACCCTAGGTCTTCAACTGTAATAAAGCAGTGATAACGTCTACTTTCAAAGGCTGTTTGTGGATTCTACGGGAAACCCTTAGGAGAAAAGGGTCTGGCAGAGAAGGTGTTCATAAATGGGAGCCAGAATTCTTCTCTCCTGTGTACAAGCTGGGCTGAATGTCCGTGAGCCCTATGATCCCCACCCTCTGTACCACATCGCCTAGCCTGGGTCACTGTACGTTCTCAATATAAGCCTGGAATAAAATGGCTTCTGGCAAAGGTGCAGTCTCGAGCTGACACCTAAGGGGAGGGCCCTCCCTTGGGTGAAGAACAGAGACTGGAGCCCCGGGCCCCACACTCAGAGGTGAGCAAGTCAGCCTCAGGGCATGCCTCTGCCGGCTCCTTTCTGAGCACTGTTAAATCCAGTTTTAACTTGTCTAGCTTTACTGATATTCCCAAAGGCCTGTAAGAGAGACTGACGGTGCAGTGCAGTCTCCTTTCAGGAGCGATCATCTTGGATTGGCCCCAAACTTGGGGAACATCACAGGAAGGATACAGCAGGGGCAGGCTCTCACTACCTGTTCCCAAGTCACCGGAGACACAGCTGCTCTATCTGCCCACTCGGTCAGATCACAGAGTCCCCCAGCAAAATCTGGTTTCAGATTAAGTTTATTTCTAATCTTTATCTCAAGGGTGAAAACGGCCCTGTGGTCCATGGCAGCAGCTGGAACAAATCCCTCAGGCCAACCTTCCCCAGGTTTCCCCCATCCTGGCCTAGATGCATTACGGGCTACATATTTCACAGCGCCCAGTACAAAATTAAAATATGAGGCCCCTTGTTGAAAAATTAAGAATTTTAAGATTGTGGTAGCAGAGCACTAGAACAAGCACGGGGCCCTTCTGAGAACGGGGTCCGGTGTGACTCATAGGTCACACGCCCAAAAGCTGTCCCTACCCCTCGACCATTTAGTGCTATGTGCTCTCAAAAGCCTGAGTAACCCGCACCACCGCCCCGTCCGTGGAGAGAGGAGAGGAGGCAGCCAAGGGGTGTCAATCACCCAGAGAGGAAGGTGCCCAGGGCCCCGCGGCGAGCCAAAGAGGCCCTCCCCAAAGGGCAGCTTGTTTTTTTCCACTTGCTAGAAAAATAGCTCAGAGCTGATCTCCTGTGACCAGCAGATCGATGATAACGTCATTATGTATGGAGGCTCCATTTCAACCTTTTTTTCCAGTTCTATTTTTGTAAGTCATTTTACACAGCAGGGGACTTGATGGGGATCTCTCCGGGTCTGAAATCCTCTGGGGAGACGCAAGAACCTAGGCAGTGTCCTGAGTTGTCCCCAGGGCAGTCCTCCTTCCAGAAGGCCACTCCAGTGCCTGTGAAGCCAGCCCCAGGCTGGCTGTTTCTTCTACGGCTGTTGTAAGAGTTCATGCAGGTGCCAGGCGACAAGCACAGAGCATCCTCTGGCACCGAGTGAACGCTCAATAAATGTAGCTACTTTTGTACCTATGAAGCCCCTCTGTTTTCATATTTCATATGATTGCTTTTGTTGCTCTGTAAAACGTTTATTTATTCCATCTTTTCCCTTCTGAACTAACACTTGTGCTAATTCCAGGACAGAAACACGGTTACCAATAGGTGTCTTCATTTATATAAGTCAGCCACTGAGCCTATGAAATGGAGCCTCATTCTCCTGCGTCTTCTGGAAGACACAGGTCACCTTCAAAGATCTCACAGCTGCTGTAGCATTGTCGTCACTTGGATTATGTACCTGCAAAACATGTTAGCACATGTACCCTAGTATACAGGTTACTTATTTATTATATGTTTAACTGTATTCCCATACCTATCTTAAAACACTCCCAAAAATAGAAAACTTTAAAGACAAAGATGAAATATACATTTTGCTCTTGCAAAACTACTAATACTTGGGGGAGAGCGTTTTGATTGAATAAGTTCTACTACTTGTTAAAACCTTGAGCTAAAGCTTTGTAATGTAACTATTCATAGGTCTGGTTTGGAATTAATTTTATTACTCAACTTGCTTTCAAAAGCTGTCATAGCTAAAAAAAGATTTCTGGCAAAGAGGGGTAGCTCCAAACCAAAGATGTACCTTGTGAGTTGTGCTAAATAAATCCTAATTCTCATTCAATTATACAAATTTTTGTTGAAACATCACTAATAAAATATCTTCCTCCTTTTAAAAAAAGATGTCAATCTTTTTTTAATTTTTAGCCACTTCTAAGGCGTGCCATTTTTCACAAATGGGGTCAAGCCACATTGATACTCTTCATTTTGAAATTTCAAAAACAGCCTTAAAAAGTTTACTTCCTAGTTTTTGTTTAATTTACAAAGAGAGAGTTTTTATAGATGATCATCACAATCAGCTATGGAATCGCGTAACAGTAACCTTTCCAAACATCGGTTTTGAAAATCAACTCCCATCGCCACCGCTGTTTTTGTAAAGCACCTTAACACAGCGCACTCCACAAATTACTTTCGAAAAGCAATCACTTCCCCTCTTTGTCCATGAAGGGAGTTTTTTTCCTAAAATATTTGCTAAGCACATATTACTGACAACCAGTTGTCATCGTACAAAAGGTCAGCAAGTTTGAAATAGTTGCCTACTGGTGAAAAAAAAATGCATAATTCATCTTCAAGTTTGATGGCTTTTTTTTTTCAATTTTTTTTAAATGTTTTATTTATTTCTAGGAGAGAGAGAGAGAGACAGCGTGAGCAGGGGAGGGTCAGAGAGAGAGGGAGTCACAGACGGAAACAGGCTCCAGGCTCTGAGCTGGCAGTCAGCACAGAGCCCGACGCGGGGCTCGAACCCACGAACTGCGAGATCACGACCTAAGCGAAAGTCGGACGCTCAACCGACTAAGCCACCCAGGCGCCCCTAAGTTTGATGGCTTTTAAAAGCATGTTGCCAGAATGCTTTCATGGTGACTCCCCATCTCCTTACAGAATGTTAAGAGGATTCTGTTGTACTTGGAGATCTTGTTTTTGTAACAATTATCACACTGATGATATGTTATCTCATTTTCAGCACACCTTGGCTTTGCTGCATGAGCTCGCCAATAAAAGATACAGTAAAACAATTTTGTCAGTGGTGCTGTATTTGTACTCTTACCCAGGAATCTTTATTCTAGTCAAAGCAGTAAGTATTAGTGAGAACACTTACTTCCATGGTTTTTCCAAAGCATTGTTGTATTAAAGAAGTAGTTTTCTGTGGAGAATGGATCTTCAGGGATACATTTTTTTAATGTTGTTCATGCCATGTGTGCACACGCGCGCACACACACACACACACACACACACCAACTCTATGGATAGCTCATAACTGAACAGTCCAATAAATACCATAGGCTGAGATATGTTGGGGTTTATCTGTGTTTTATCCAGATGCCCAACGCTTCATAATTTGTTCTAACACCTGGCAATGTTTTCTCTGCATCTTCCAACAATGTATGCAGACAAGTACCTATTCCTTTTGTGCTGTGTGGTTTCCTTGTTTTATTTTAGTCATTATAGCATGTGGCTCTTTTACTCTGCTGGTAAGAAAACTGAAGAAGGAAAAAAAACCACCTCTAAACATTTATCACTATGTTTAGTGAATTCTGTGAGGGACTAAATTCAGAACCTAGGGTTTCAAACATGGCTTTGAAAAAGTGTAGTGGTTTGGGGACCTGTACCAAATGCCTAGTTTCTAAATATCTTGCTAATCCATATGGCTCATATCATCAGCCTACATCTCAATGCGCCATATGCACTTAGGGATGGGTGTATTACTAGCGAGGGGTGTATATAAATCCACATTCAATCCAGACTTCTTGATAATTTCAATGTTTTGTCATCTTGTCCAGTCTGGGGAGATCATTTGCATTTCAGAACATGCTCTGGAGGGCTCTGGGCCCTCACTGCCCAGGGCCATCAGCTCTGCCATTCTTCTTGTTGCTCTAACTTGTCTGACAGCTTGTTGTCAGACTTCAGTTCTCATTCTATTACTTGCTAACTGTCTGACCTGGGAGAACAATCATAAGAGCACTTTCAACCCCTCTGTTCTCAGTCCACCTGCCACCACTCCTACCGTGTGTGACATGTGACACTTGAGAACACTGGGATCAATCCACAAATAAAATATTAGGAAGGCTGATAGCTTATGTTAAAATGCATGTAAGTAAGCACATTGCATATTATCATTTGGATGCAAAATAATTTATGGCTATAACTCCCCATGCGTTTACATGAATAAGTCACTTGATTTTTTTAAAAAAATGCACGTAAGTAGACATTTTAATATTTTCATTCCACATCCTAATGGATCATCCTACATACTTCACTTTGGGAACAGTCCTCAATTGAAATGTATTGTGTTCCAGGGAGTAATTTATCAGAACAACAGTTATCACTACAATCCATTTCTCAAATATTCTTGCAACCCAGTGGGCTTTCCTAAGGGAGAGACAATGGTCTGAAGTTAAAGCTGGTCTCTGGACTCCTGCTTAATCGGATACAGCCACAGAGTCTCCCATGGGGCAGGATTGTTGTCTGTCCTGGGTAGTGGGCATGAACAGTGAGAACTACAGAGCCAGATGGAGAAGCAAACACATAAATAAGTGTAGTGAACGCTGTAATAAAGGCACACACAAAGACCCATTGGAGACCAAATAAGGAGAAGTTCAGGAAAACTTCACACTAGAGGCAAGTGAGCAAGCTTTGAAGGAAGGGTGAAATTTCAGTGGGAGGGAGGAAGCAGTGGGGGCAGAGTTGCAGGATAAATGGTAAAATGTTTGGGGAACATGAAGTTATCCAGAACTGATCAGAAGAAACAGGAGGTGAAATTGATTTCTCTTATGGATTTAGAATGTACTCTCCTACATTAATATTGTACAGTGCTTTCTTGAAAGAGTGGGAGGGTTTTTTTATTAACTATTATTATCATTTCCTTGGTAAGAAATGAGGTCTCCTAGTGTTATCCTCCATAGTGCTTGAGTCTGGAAATTGTGAAAAAACTTGGAAGCCATGTTAAGGAGTTGGACTTCATCCAAGATGCATTCGACAGTAGCTTATAGGTGGTAGGGAAGGGCTGTTTTTAAGTAAAGGTGAAGCATGATTAGATACCTTCCACAGCATTCATGGGGATATGCTCAAAACAGTCCAAGTTCTACTAACATCAGAATCACCTGGAAAGCTTGTAAAAAATGCAAATTACCAGGCCCCACCCTAGATCTTCAAAATCCGAATTCCTAGAGCTGCATACAGACACCTGTTTGCACTTCAACAGACTCTCCAGCCAAATTCTTTTCCTGTATTGTCATCCCACTGCCTCACCCACACCCCAAATAATTCAGGCACGTATGAAAAATTAAGATCAGGGCATTACTGGTTTTATGAAATAACTATGTGACTGGTTTATGAGATAGAATGTATCAGCAAGTTATTGTGTTTCTAATTTAGCATTCCTGAGAGTTACCTATTCTTATGTTTGAACTTGAGTCTATGTTCACTTCCAGTTCAACTTTAAGCTTATTGTTATTAAAAAGAGTCTAGTTTTTCCCACTCCCAAACTTCTATCCTTCTATCCCAAACTCCTTTACCTCATTCCCAAGTTTTACATACATCATATGGTCAAGGCCAGGTGCTTCACCTTTTAACATTTTGATCTTCACATCATAATGAAAAAGGTTTTATTTTTTTTTAATTTATTTTAAACGAGAGCATGAGAGGGGCAGAGAGAAGGAGAGAGAATCCCAAGCAGGCTCCGCACTGTCAGCGCAGAGGCCAATGCAGGGCTCGAACTCATAAACCAGGAGATCGTGATCTGAGCCGAAACCAAGAGTCAGACACTTGACCAACTAAGCCACCCAGTTGTCCCTATTATTCTTAGTTTTTAAATGAGATTGAAAACTGGGCTACAAAAGATGGGATGGCGTTAGCAAGCAGCAGAACTAGATTTTGAAATCTGACTTCAAAACCTGTGCTCTTGAAATTAAGAAGACCAGCAATCACAAATGTTGGCAAGGATGTAAAAGAACTGAAACCCCCCACACTGCTGATGGGTATGCAAGTAGCGCAATCACTCTGAATAACAGTCTGACAGTTTCTCTTAAGGTTAAATGTAGCCTTATCATATGACCCAGAAATGTATTCCTGTACTTGTCCCCCCAAAATGAAACATACATCTACACTGACAGTGGTACATAATGTTGATCGTGGTTTTGTTCATAATAGCCCAACACTGGAAACTACCAAACTGTCCAACGAGATGAATGGAATAAAAATTGCAGTGTATCTGTACAACGGAATACTGCTGGGCAAGGAGTTAGAATGTACTAAGCCTCACAACAACATGGATGGAACCCAAAAACTTTAAGGAAGCCAAATATCAAAGAGTACTTACTCTGTGGTTCCATTATATGTAGTCCTAGGAAAGGTAAAAACACATCTGTAGTGACAGCAGTTTCCCCAGGCTGGGGCAGGGGTCTTGAGTACAAAGGAGCATGAGAGAGAGAACTTTTGAGTGATGCACCTGTTTGAGATCTTGATTGTGGTGGACTGACATTTGTCAAAACTCATTAAATTGTACACTGAAAATGGGTTTGTTGTATCACATACATATAGTCAATAGAATAGATTTAAAAAAAAAAAAAAAAAGCTTATGCTTTCCCTAAACCACATGGCCTCTGTTTTTCTAACTCTACCCTAAATCACACCCCACCCACAAGCTGAAAGGATGGTATGAGGTGTTGTGGCTTCTGCAATAGAGAC